ATAACACATCTTCTTTATCCAGTTTCCAGTTGATGGGCACTTGGGCTCCTTCCAAGCTTTAGTTAGCTATTATAAATTGTGCCGCTATAAACATGGGTGCACATATATCGCTGTGGTATGATTCTTTTAATTCTTTTGGGAAGATCCCCACCAGGGAAATAGCTGGGTCAAATGGGACCTCTAGTCCTAGTTCTTTGAGGTATCTCCATACTGATTTGCACAGAGGTTGCACCAGTCTCCACTCCCACCAACAATGGAGAAGGGTTCCTTTCTCCCCACACCACCGCCAGCATTTGTTATTGGTTGATTTCTTGACAGCAGCCATTCTTTCTGGGGTTAGGTGGAATCTCAGAGTTGTTTTCATCTGCATGTCTAGAATGACCAGTGATGTTGAACATTTTTTCATATGTTTATTTGCCCTTCTCACTTCTTTGCCTGAGAAATGTCTGTTCATTTCAGATGCCCATTTTTGAATTGGATCTTTAAATTTGGGGGGAAAAAAACAAATTTAATGAAGGCCTAACACAATGCCTAGCACATGATATAAATTCAATAGAAATTTGTTCAATGAAAGGGAGTTGAAAAGGAACCTTAGGTTATAGAAAACCTGCCGCTGGCTCTCCTACCTCTGGTTGTTTTGTTTTGTTTTGAGTCGGCACCTTGCTGTATAACCAAACATGAAATTGTCATCCTTCTGCCTCAGCCTCCCCAGTGCAAGGATCCAGGCATGAATCACACAAGCCAGCTTGCCCCTGGGCTTTTTCACACCCAAATACTCCATCACTTTCCATAACTTCTTTTACCTACTAACAGTTAAAAATCCCTTCCTGCCAGCCAAAGTCTGAGTTAAATGTCTCCTCTAGACAGCCCCTGCCTGCCCTCCCTCGTAATATTTATCTCGCTAACTTTAATCGCCTGTTTATTTCAGATCAGACAACAAGTTCCATGACAGCGGAGACTGTGCCTAATATGGTGTCTGGTGCAAGGCAAATACCTTATAAATATTTTTTTGAATGAATGAAAGAATCTCATCCTCCATAGCTCTTATAACTAATGTTACACTTTCCTGTTCCAATTCTGCCCTAACCTGTACTATTTGTCATCTTTGATTCATTGCCTTCCGATTCATGCTGGTAATTGAAAAAATTATGTAACAATTTGAGTCCTTCTCATGAACTGACTAGGAAAGTAGAGTGGAGAACAAAGCCTGGTCAGAGTTTACTATCTGCAGGGCCTGAGAGAGTAATGCAGAAAATAAACAAGTTGTGATTGCAAATTATGCAGAACCTTCCCGCATACCTTCCAATTTATTCTCGTTAATTTTCCTATTTAAGTGACTATACTCCCTCTTTGTTTCTTTGCGGTACTGGTAGTGGAACCCAGGGCTTACACTGAGCTACATCCCCAGCCCCCTTTTTACTTTTTATTTCAAGACAGGGTCTCCTTGAATTGCATAAGCTGGGCTTGAACTTCTCCTGGTTCTCCTACCTCAGCGTCCCCCTGTGCTGAAATTACAGGTGTGCTGTGACACCACGCCCAGTTTATGATTTCTTTTTCTAAAACTCACCTGGATACTGGAGGGTGTAGATCAGTGCTTACCTAACATGTGCACCATAAAAAGAAAGAAAGAAATCATCTGGATTCCTTACAGTCCACAAGAATTCATTTAGTTTCTACCATGTACAAGGCCTGTTTTTTTTTGTTGTTTTGTTTTATTTGGTTTGGTACTGGGGATAGAACTCAGGTCCTTGCGCTTGCGCAGCAGGTGGCGAAACCATTGAGCTAAATGCCTGGCCCACAAGGCCTGTTTCGAAGGCTGGAGACTCAACCCTTGAACAAAGCAGGCACAGACCTTACAGGGTAAAGAAAAAGACAGGCGTTATGAGAAAATGGACTGTCATCAAAGGATTTAAGCAAGAAAGGGCCTTGGTCCTCTTCATGTTTTGTCAAGGCCATTTTGAAGAAAAATGAGAAAAAGTAAAAATGGAAGCAGGAGACTATTTATTATAATTTTTCACTTCACTATGGTGGTGACAGTCAAGATGGAGAGCTGGGGATTCAGCTCAGTGGTTCTGTTCCCTGCCTTGCAAGCTCAAGGACCTGAGTTCGATCCCCAGTACAAAAAAAAAAAGATGGAGAAAGGTGAAAGACTTTTTTTTTGGTACCTGGGATTGATCTAGAGATATTTTTAAAATGAAATTTATTACTGCTTATGAATATGGTTTTTAATGAAGAATTGTCCATTCTTTGCTAGTCTGTGGGGAACATCTCTCTAGATAAATGAAATTAGTAAAGTAGCATAATGGATAAAAGCTTGGACTCTGAATAAACAGATTCAGTTCATCATTTACTAGCTGAACAACATCAAGCAATTCAACAAATCACTCTGAAATGAAGGTTAAAATAGTATGTACATCATAGGATTGCTACGAGAATTAAAGAAATAATGTGTATAAACCCTATTTATGCAAGGTATATGTGTATATATATATATGTCTATGATATAAGCACTTTAAAATGTCAGCTATTTTTACATTATTGTAGGAAAATTGGCCTATAAAATGGAGAATTGACCTGATTAAAATAGAAAAAAGCTCCCTAAGCTCATAAGAATGTCTTCCCTGACCTAATTGAGCTGGTTACCACCATATAATTGTGTAGTATGCCTTTTCTGTCAGACCATGTCTCATTCTTCAAGACTCTGTAATAGGAGCTGGGCATTGTGGCTCATGCCTATAAGTCCAGCACTTGGGAGGCTGAGGCAGTAGGGTGGCTACAAGCTTGAGGCCAGTCTGGACTATATAGTGAGACCCTGTCTCAAAAAAATAAAGTGAGAGAATAAAAAGACTTCACAATATGGCTAGGGATTTGACTGGGTTTAGAGCTCTGGCCTAGGGAACATGAGGCCCTGGGTTCCATCCCCAGCACTGCAAAGAAGGAAAACAAAAGACTCCACTACAGAACTCAATTCCTTCCTAATTTTTTTTCCCAAACCAGTCGCACTGGTTACTACACAATTTAGTAAACTGTCGGTATTTCTAAGTTGACATCCATAAGGTTCTGATTAGTTTTGGCTTGACTTCGAGTCCTTTTGTACTTGT